AACACTTGAACAACAACAACAGCAAAACCAAAACATTGAAACATACACGGTAAAACTTATTGGACCTTGAACCTTAGGACTGCCTTAGACTTTAGGATTGCTACTTTACCGAGTAGCTAGCTTTGTGGGAAGCCTTCTACAACACGAGGATTTGGATCATCATGAGGATCTACAACAACACATCTTTTATTAGAATTTAAATAACAAGACATAGGATTTTGAGGTTGTCTGACTAGTGCGACATAAATTCTCAACTTATCTTTAGGCTTTTGCACAATCGTGTTGTGATTTAAGCCCTAACTAGCTTTAGGCTTTGAGATCGTCCTTTGTTATGACGTAAACCCTCCTATCCTCCAGATTATTTGTATGACCGTGTCATGCAAGTGTAAGCTTTAAATAATAAAATTGACATAATCAAAACATCAAATAAGTCATTTCCAAAATATTAAACAAAACAGTAGGATAGCTTGAGAAGTCACCAGGTTTTCCTTCGGATCACTGGCATCTCCTACCTTTCATTCATTTGGATTCTTGAAAATAACTGTTCCTCTTTTGATCCATTCCCTTTTGAACTTTTAATGTCCAATCTTGAAAATTTAAACTTAAAAAATCTTGAAGGCAAATCCACTGATCTTAATCGAAAGTGTTTTTAAGCGACTTCGATCACTTAAGATGAAATTAACTATAGGGGTTTGCCTCTATAGGAAACTTCGAAACCTAGCTTAATATAAACCCTATTTAGTCTTCTATATTAAATATGAGAATTATTTGGTCAACATGAACGATTTCGCAGACCATAACAAATGTCATAAATTCTATAGTTTATTTAATCGAGCCTCACTATCAAACAATGTGTTCATTCCTTGGAATATATGCATCGCTTGCGGTGTTGTGCTCGTTTATTTAAACTATTGCGTATATGAGATCTATTCGGTCTCCTACTTTCAAAATTAAAATATTAATTTTCAAAATCATATATATATATATATATTAAATATATTGAATATATTTTTCCACAAACACAAACACACCATGTTTGGCGGCTGACATCTGCTCGACCTATTACAACCTACATGGTCCACAACTTATATAACTCCCAACTTCGACCTCTACGACCTACGAATATTATCACATCTCACCATTATGATCCATGTGACTAAGTATGATGTGGTTCACAACTGTTGCAGCTCCCAAGCTGGCCTTTATGACTTACAAACATTATTACAACTTACCACAACAATTTATGCGACCAATTACGGCCTATGTGATCTCCAACTCGTGCAGCTCCCAACTCCTACTTTTGTGGCCTATATACATTATCATAGCTTAACATTAAGGTTTATATGACCAACTACGACCTATTAGGTCCACATGTCATGCAATTCCCAATTCCGACTCTCATGGCCTACAAAAGTTAGTGCAACTCACAATTATGACATACACAACCAATTACGACCTACGTGATTCACAGCTCATGTAGCTCCCAACTTTGACATCTACGACATACGGATGTTATCACATCTCATCTTTATGTTCTATGTGATCAACTAATGTTTATATAGTACACAGCTCATGTAGCTCCCAACTCGGGCCTCTGTGGTCTACAAATATTATCGTAGCTCACCATTCAAACCCAAGTGACAAAGTATGACCTATGTGGTTCACAACTCATGGAACTCCCAACTCTGACCTATGCAACTTATATTTATTATTTTGGCTCACCAATACGTTCTCCATGGCTATCTACGGTCTACATGGTCACAAATCATGGAGCTCTCATCTCCAACGTCTATGGCCTATAAATGTTCTTGCAGCTCACCACTACAGCCTAATTAGTCCACTACTCTTGCAGTTTTCTACTATGACCTCTATGGCCAAACGATGCTTATGAAGCAATCATCTACGACCTACTTTGTCAATTACTACCACAGCTTCCAACTACGGCCTCTAAAACCAGGTGGCGTTATAACTACCTTCACAATATTCATGGTGGGTTGCTGCTTTTATATCAATCGACTATGGTCTTTACGTCCCGTTACAACTATTATTGTTGAACTAATATTGTACATCAACATTGTAATTTTATATTCTCTAATTCAAGAGAGTGGGCATGTGCACTTACAATTCTATTATGGATTATTTTAATTGGGCTACGCCTCGTGATTTTTTTGCTTTCCAGAATTTTCTACGTAAAAAATTGGGGTGTCTCTTACTATTTCTCTTTTATCTTTTTATGTGTAGGAGCTTCCTTCAACAATAAGACGTTTATCATCCTTCTCATCTCTTCTTCCTACTCATACCACATCATAAATCGTGAATCATTGGTGCGTCTGTCGGCGTCCCCTCTTCATCTTGCCATTGTGCTCCCCAACACACAAAACACCTCAATTTCCTCTTGGTCGACTCGTTGTTGAACCTGCTAACTTCCCCTCCTCATCTAATTTTCTTGGTTGCCGACACACCATGAACCACTATTCATTGTCCACAATGTGCTACTGATTTCGTTGTCTCTATTTTTACACAACCAACCCCCTCCTCTACACAACTTCCTCTTGTCGAACATTAGTTGTAGGCAAGGACAATGATAATTTAGCTAAGATGACAACATATTAGATGGTGTAAGTGAGGTTATCAAGTGAAACATGCTATGTTCAAATAAATTAAAATTAGAATATGTTGGGGGAAAAAAAAGGATTATTGGAAAGAATAATACATACATTCATACTCCATGTATAACATTGTTGTACACAGTTATACGATATGCGTACAATAGTGTACAACAATGTTCTAGATGAAATCTCATCTATAAGTGAATATTTTGGAAAGTATGATAATATGAGACATTTTATTTGCCCACGAAAATTTATGGCTGTCAACAATAAGCTCCTTCATAATATCTTAAGCTAAATAGTATGAATTTTATAGAAAATATTCTTGAGAAAAATTTTGAGGTAGATAATCATCATAGCCTTTTATATCTCCTATAGGATAAATTATTCAAAAGTTAATGCACAGCCATATTATTAATATCTTTTATATGCAGCACACATATAGTTTAAATATTGTGATTTAAATCAATTTAATTCACTATAGCTCCCATAAAAAATAAAAAAAAAAATCATTACTTTACTTTATAAAATACAACAAAATATATTACATATCTTTGTGATATCATCCTGGTATAAAGGAAAGAATTCTATAAAGTGGTATAATGAATGCCTTCATCTTACTAGTCTAAACTATCTTTTCCACTTCACTTGGTCCAACCTCAAATCAACCTCCTAGTCACAAAAAAATATTGTGTTTTATCCTGATGCATTCAGACGTCATGTACAATGAGGTTGTACACCTAATATCCTCTTCGTAGCCACACCCCCCTCGTACTCGCATGTCATTGACTTATATATATGATTTTTGTTAAACAAAACAAATAACAACAATGCATGCTCAAATATCACTTATTAGGGTGGAATAATATAAATCACTCGTAATAAAAATTTAATATCATTCCATATTTGATTCGATCGCCTGAGAAAGTAGGTCTTAAATAATTTTTTATATTATTTTTTAGTACATAAAAACTCTTCATTTCAATCAAATTTGATATAACATACTATAAATAAGGCACTATATTTTATTAGCAGTTGCATGATTTTCTTGATCTTGAATTTATATTCATTATTCATACTAAATGACTAACATATTTTTTTAATCAATGATATTCATGATTTCCATGGAGTTTAATTTATCAAAACTATTGGGAGTAGGAAACTTCATGATGATGTAGCGAAAGACTGTCAATTTAGTTCTGCATAAAAATTTGACAGACACCCAAAGAAAAAAAAAACATTGAAAACACTAGCGTTATATCGCTTATGTTAAAATTTCAAAAATGAAAATTACGGGGTCCAGCTCAATCAAAATGCTTCAACTAACACTGTGTTAGTGCATTGTGAACGGTACATGCAACAATGAATGTTGAGGACAAGAGTATTGGCATTGGTTTTGACAAGAAGCATAACAACTTTATAAAAAATAAAATACATATAGTGTCCATCAACCTTATTGACAATGATGTGCGCCAGCCTTATAAGTGATGGTGATTAAGTGATAGTGGTTGGTCACTCACAATTTGGCAATAGAGAAAATGTAACATCATGAGTCCTAACACAGCTCTATGTGCAGATGATAGTATTTTATATTTTATTTGTAGTATTGTGGTATTATTTTATTAAAATATTCCCACAATACTACCAATAACACTTAAAATACTACCATCCGCACCTAATCCGGACGTAGCTCATCTGAATGTAATATTTTATCTCGACAACGATGGTCAATAGAGCGTAATTGATCAATGGTGTTTACACAATTATAGTCCTGCAAACCATAAAGTGACAATGGTGATCAAGCGATCCTAATTGTATGTTGATGGCTAGGCAATTGCAAACAAGGGACTAAGGTCTTCGGAGGTTGGCAATGGTCGATCACACTCAAGCGATGGTGGATCAGTGGTCGGACAATCATATAGATGAGCTATGCCGTTCAAGCAACTACAGTAGGGAGATGGTAGTTTGGTAAACTAACATGGTGATTGCGATCAAGCCATAATACTTGGGTTAAGATGGTTGGATAACAGTAGTTGGGTGACAAAGACCAATGCAACTATAACCCGACAACAATAGTCTAGCAATGGTAGTCGAGTAATTATAAACCCTACCCTACTGCACATATTAATCATGCTTGAATATGTGTATTTCACTCCTTAAAAGTTAAAAAGGTGGCATCTTTTTATGTCATGAAAGTTTGGGTGGTAAAAATGTAAAAAATGAAAGTTTAGGTCTTAGATATGTAAATACATAACATATTAAAAAATTACAACCTTCAACTTTTACAATCTTATATCCAACTTTTCTGCAACTCAAAATTAACCCTGCATTAAAACTCATACACCCTTAGTTAAATTTATTAAATATGTAATCAATCTCATAAATCAGAAATCATTTGCACTAACTATAAGGCAATATGAGGGATTTTATTCATTAAAGACCAAATATATTTCAGATTAGCATACAGAGAATCATAAACTTATCGGACAAAGCAGCAACGCAATGCAATGTAAACTGTAATAAAGGCCTTTATCTGCAACCCACCATTAAGCTTCCTCACAGCGAAGAAGACAACCCTACAGAGAAGAATTATGGCAATTATTTAGAAATTTTATGGGAAATTTACATCCATACCACACAATTCTTATGTATTTATATATACCTATCACTCAAAGTTTGATCTTTCCGCTTCTAATGCATTGACGTCATAAATCTATGCATGAAAAGATGAAAATGTGTGAACCACTTAAAAAAAGACGGTGATGGTGGCATTTTTGGTGTGATGTTAACAAGTTGAGTGGCATGCATGCAAATATGAATTTTTAAGTGTTTGATATGTAAATACATAAGAATTGTGTGGTATGTATGTAAATGCCCTTTACATGAATAACACTCAAATCCTTAACATCACATCAAAATTACCACCATCACTTATCATTTTAAAATTGAAATATAACTTTTCATGCATAGGTTTAGGACAACACCGCCTTATAAGTATAAATATCAAACTTCGGGCATCAGATATGTAAATACATAAGAATTGTGTGGTATGTATGTAAATATAGATTGTAATTATTAACATTTGGTTATAGTATTAATGAAGAAATACCTAGTTGTTTTGCATTGACAATGCTTGGACTAGCAGGTGGAGGCTGAGAGTTTTCATCTAAGAAAGCTTCAATCCTATTTGGATCAGACCACACTGGATATCCTTTGATCTTTCCCTGTTTAACAGTAGATAAGCAGAAGAAATTTGTTAATAAATTTATATAATATTATATATATATATATATATATATATA